CAGGAGCAGCTGAAGGTGATCAAGAAGGAGCTGGGCATTGAAAAAGATGATAAGGATGCCATTGGCGAAAAGTATCGCGAAAAACTCAAGGACAAAACTGTACCAGAGAGCATCAAAACTGTTATTGACGAAGAGCTCACCAAGTTGAACTTCTTGGAGAGTCACAGCTCAGAGTTTAAGTGAGTCCYTTTCTCTCTCTCTCTCTCTCTGAAGCTCTGGGCAATAATATATCCTTTTCTTTGTAGTGTTACTCGCAACTATCTGGACTGGCTTACCTCWTTGCCTTGGGGCGTCATTAGTCCCGAAAAYCTGTGCCTTGACAAAGCCACCGAAATTTTAAACAACGATCACTACGGCATGGACGACATTAAGAAGAGAATATTGGAATTTATTGCTGTWAGTTCACTGAAGGGCACGACGCARGGCAAGATCTTGTGCTTCCATGGACCGCCAGGCGTGGGCAAAACGAGCATAGCAAAGTCCATTGCGCGCGCCCTGAATCGCGAGTATTTCCGCTTCAGTGTTGGCGGAATGACAGATGTGGCAGAGATAAAGGGTCATCGCCGCACCTATGTGGGCGCCATGCCTGGCAAGCTAATACAGTGCCTTAAGAAGACCAAGACGGAGAATCCGCTGGTTCTCATCGACGAAGTGGACAAGATTGGCAAGTGAGTAGACCGAACAATGATTAATGTTAAAAATTTGCGATTAATTTAGGATTTGTGTTTGATTCAATAGGGGTTATCAGGGTGATCCGAGCTCAGCCCTATTGGAGCTGCTGGATCCCGAACAAAATGCCAATTTCCTTGACCATTATCTGGATGTACCCGTGGATCTGTCCCGAGTGCTTTTCATCTGCACTGCAAATGTGGTTGATACCATACCAGAGCCACTGCGCGATCGCATGGAGCTCATCGAAATGTCCGGCTATGTGGCTGAAGAGAAGGTGGCTATTGCCCGTCAATACCTGATACCGCAGGCAATGAAAGACTGTGGCCTAACGGAGAAGCAGGTCAACATTACGGAGGATGCGTTGAACATGCTTATACGCAGCTATTGCCGAGAGTCGGGTGTGCGTAATCTGCAGAAGCAGATYGAGAAGGTCATTCGCAAAGTGGCCTTCCGCCTGGTCAAGAAGGAGGGCGAGGAGTTCCCCGTAAATGCCGACAACTTGACAACGTTCCTGGGCAAACAGGTTTTCAGTTCCGATCGTATGTACAACGTAACGCCCGCTGGTGTTGTGATGGGCTTGGCCTGGACCGCAATGGGCGGTTCTTCATTATACATTGAGACTTCCAGGCGTCACATACGCGCCGAGAAGCCCGAATCCACAGCTGGAGTATTACACTTAACTGGTAACTTGGGTGAYGTAATGAAGGAATCCGCACAAATTGCTCTGACCGTGGCTCGAAACTTTTTGTACACGTATGATCCAAAGAACAAGTTCCTTGAGCAGGAGTACGTATTATTTATTATGGCTTCTTTAATATGGCTGACTTAAC